AATATGTTACAATATGCTGCAATATATTCTGCTATACTGTGGTGATATACTACAATATACTACAGCATACTACAATATACTGTACTATACTGTAATACACTGCAATATACTGTAATATACGGAAAAAACCGTAATATACCCGGGTCCCCTGTGTTCTCAGAGGCAGATAGCTCTGCCGGCACTTCTGCAATGAATGCCGAAGCTGGTCCAACCTTCATGACTCAAAAACAAGTTGGAAGAAGGTCCAATCACAGGGCTTGAGGCCATCGCCGTCGTGGCCATGATCCTCGACGTCACAAATATCATCGCCATCATCACGGACATCTCCATGACTATCGTTGTCATCATGGCCATGAGTCTCATCCATCGTGGGTGAGCATTCCGAGCGTGACCACAACCTTCATCGCCACAAGCGCCAGCAGCACGAGAAACCGTTAAATCAACACAACTTCAACATCATCGTCATCACCGGCCGGCAGCAGCAGCAGCAGCAGCACTCATGGCCCGCGCTATCCTCACAGCAATCATGGCCATTGCTAGCCCACGCAAACTTCTGAGCATCACCTTGCTTCCATCCTAGCAGCAGGAGCAAAAGCAGCAGCAACCAATACTACAACGATGATGACCACACTGCAACATCAGTAGCAACGAGATTCAAGCACCACAGCCACCGCCAACACAATCATAATCCTGAAACAACTGCCACCAATAGCACAAATGGCAACAAGATACGAAAAACACTTGAACTATCCGATGGACAAAGAGGAGCCTCAAAACCACCCTCTCGTTTGCGAGCTTGATACTGCGCAGCGAGGAGGATGTGCATGGCCACCATGGCGCGCTTTAGGGTTTAGGGGTTTAGGGTTTAGGGGGGCTTCGGGGTTTAGGGTTTAGGGTTTAGGGTCATGCCTAGTCAATGACGCCAAAACCCTTGCATTCGAGAGTATACCTTAAATCTTGCTGAGGACCCCTCTAGCATGTACGGTTTATTGTTGTGTCATTAAAGGCTCTTGGAGTCTATGGGCATTGCACCTCTGAGTGACCCCAGCTCAAGAGCCGCGACTTTCCTAGCAAGGCTCCTCAACCCTAAGGCCTAAACCTTGGGGCTTGAGGCTTAGAGTTTAGGGTTTCGGGCTTAGGGTTTAGGGAACCCTACAAACCTAAACCCTACAGCCGCAAATGACTTTCTCACGTGTGTGTGTGTGACTTCGAAGCACTGAGAGAAGATCCTATGACTCGGAAACGGGCTGGATCCTCCAATGGTTATGCTGTTATCGTAGTTTTTGATACTTGATGCTAACAATAGCAATCATAATAACAGTAGCAATAAGATCGACAATAATAGTCGTAGTAATCAGTAAAGGGGCATTGGCGTCAAGTCTTCGCTTGAGGCTTTCATGCTGTCGATGCACCTCCGAGACTTCACGCTGCCGTATGATGGGACGACAAGGGGTACCTCTAACAAGTGCTGTTTAGGGTTTAGGGTTTAAGGTGGTTGTCATAAGTTTTCGATATCGTTAGGCCTGCTAGGTGATGTAGTGATGGCCATGTTCTCACGATTTGCATGGTGATCCTGGCCATTGTAAACCTCTTCACAACTACCACAGCTGTCAAGACCAATGAAATCACCATCATTCCCAGAGCTTCTGTCCTGAATGTCTTCGCATGGGGATTTCTATGCAATCAGATGGAAACCATAATCATTGGCGACACTGCGGTGTAAATGAGAGGCTTCGGTAAGGTATCACTATGCTGGAAAGCTCATACACATGCCATGCCGTGAAGCTGATATTCACATCGTTGTCGGAATGTTTGTCGGTCTCGTCAGTCTGATCTTCCTAGATATCCGAACGAGAAACCATGGAATCATGGCAAGCAAAGGTGGCGACAATGATCGCTCTCCTCGGACTCAGATAGACCCGTCCTCCTACCATACTATCAACATCTTCAGCATCTCGGTCACACAATGCATGTGTGTGTACATATATGTAACATCTGCCCGCATCCATCAGCTTTGGCAGTACTGACATGACTCTGACCTAACCGTGATCATCATCCTGTGCGACCCCTCTTGGATCAAACTCCCACTCGATAGGGAAACCAACCCCACAAGAGCACCACTGAATCTCCGCCGCGGAGCTCATCAAAAGAAACCTTCCAACCGACACATTGCGGGCCAGTGAGCTCTTTCCAAAATCACAAAATAGCGGTTTATAATGGTCTATGACGAGAGCTTTGTCTCTTGCGGCACCACCCCTCTATGTTGAGACTGGAGGCAGCATGCGGGTGACATGTGGTGCTAAATTTTGCGGCACCGAAAATTGCATGCACTGGACTGGACATGCCTGCACCATTCCTCCGCTAAGCACCACCAGCTGCCCGGATGATCATGTCGTCATCCAGCGGCCCGAAGATGCTGGTTTTGTCCTCCTGCAGCTCCAGGCGATATGGATTACCCTTCTCCCAGAGCGCGACGACCTTTGCCGGTTTCCACCCCTGCTTTGTCTGGATCTCGACCATGTCACCTATCTGGAAGCGAAGCTTGTCGTCTTGCTTGCAGCCTTCGAAGCCAGCCTTGAGGGCCTCCTTGTCGATGTTCCTGCCGATAAAGACCTCAGTGTCGATTTCAGCCGCCCTGAGCATGATCTGCGAATCTGCGGTTTGGATTCTCAATTATATTGAGCCGACATGAAAAATTGATCCCGAATCGGCACCTAGAAACGAACCGGCACTCCCGCTTCTCATCCGGTCCCCACCTGTGCTCGTCTGAGTAGCTGCCTGCAAAGAGCATGTGCACGCCCTGGAACACGAACTTCCGATCCTGACCCTTCACCGCCAAGACGCCTTTGTAGCGGAACAAGTTGTTGGCCCTGGCGGGATCTCCGATGAGGTAGCCGATCCACTCTTCCAGCTTCAGAATATTCAGCTCGCCCTCAAACTGAACCGCGATGCTTGTCACGCTGTCATCGTGCTGGTGATCTGTCCCCTCCGCCTCCAAGAACTCTGGATCCATCTCCAAGACACGAGTGAGGCTGAAGGCGTTCAGGTTCAGCAAGAGTTTCGGGTCGACTTTGGAGTACTGGCAGCGATACACCTCTGCCGATGAGTTGATGGACTTGATACGGGCCTCTGTCTTGTCCTGCTCTGCCGTATCCGGGATCAGGTCGAGCTTGTTCATCAAGATGCGGTCTGCGAAAGCCAACTGCTCGACGGATTCATTCTCCACACCCTCTGGCTTCTTCTCATCGAGATGCTGCATGACATGCTTCGCATCGACGACGGTGATGATCCCGTCCAGCTTGTACTGGGCCTGAATCGTCTCGTCCACGAAGAAAGTCTGCGCCACAGGAGCTGGGTCTGCCAGACCGGTGGTTTCAATGATCACGGCATCGAACTGCTCGACCTTCTCGGTTTAGGGTTTAGGGTTTAGGGTTTAGGGTTTTGGTTTAGGGTTTAGGGTTTAGGGTTTAGGTTCGAACTGCTCGACCTTCTTGTGCAGGCGCTTCAGCGTCTTCACCAGATCACCACGCACCGTGCAGCAAATGCAGCCGTTCATGACCTCAATGATCTCCTCCGAGACATTCTCCTGCTGCTTCACGATCTTCTCATCTACGCCGACCTCACCGAACTCGTTCTCGATGATGGCGAACTTCAGCCCATGAGTCTGATCTGAGAGGATGTGGTTCAACAAAGTAGTCTTCCCACTGCCCAAGAAGCCTGTGAGCACCGTGACCGGCACTCGATCGTCACATTTCCGCTTCGCCATGCTTCGGAGGGCACTGGCAAAACCGTCCCCGGGGCCCCAACCTTCCCTAGCCAAAAGCAGTTGCGGAACCTTCAGTCGCACATGTGCAAAAACATCTCGCTCAAGATTTTGCCAAGAACCGCGAACCGAATTTCTTTGAAGCTTGAACCCTATCTTTCGAGTGTCTCACATGACTGTGAGCGGTGTCCTACAAAAGGCGATAAATGGTAGAAGGACCAGATTTTGGGTAATGGGCGATAACCGCGCACTCACATTGACGTAGTCGCCTCAACACGGCCGTGCTTTTGATTTTGCATCGTGATCCCGGCACGGAAGTGTCGACCGGCAAGTGGAGTGCTGCAGGAAGCTTGTTTGCACAATCGATCTTCGACGGATTGCAGTGTCTGCTTCACAGGCTCAGCATTGAAGACTTTCCGGTTCCTGACCAAGGGCCTTCGTATCCCTCATCGCTTCAAGTGGCCTCTTTGAGACACTCCCGGAGAAGCGACGCAAATTTTCGTCTGCACTGCGGCCAACGGTCTCAGCTCCTATCCCAGCAGAGAACGCGTCCTGAACAATTTGCGCATGCTTTAAGATGCTTGCCGAGTACACGAACATTTTTTAGCATGTTCAAGTGAAACGTGAAGGCAAGGGTTGGAGAAGGGGGGGAGGGCCCATAACCCGGATCACAGGTTGGGGTTTAATCTGGTTGGGGCTTGGGAGGGTTTGAGAATGTGCTGGAATGACCCAACCTAAACCCCGGACAGGTTAGGTAGGCTTCGAGATCTCCAAGGGCTAGCCGGCTTCAAAAAGCTGGAGGACGCGACCCTAACCATTACATGGTGAATTGCCGAGCTTTACCCTTTGCCCCAGCCGCTACTGGCCGGCCCTAAGCCCGAACAGGTCTGGTTAACCTTTACCGGCCTCGAGGTTGGTGGGGTCTGGCACGGGGTTTGGGGACAGGGTTGGGCTAGGGTCAACCCAACAGTTCGGCTTGGTAAGGCTTCGATTTTTCACGTCTGGCTTTTCTCGACAAAGTTCAATTGAAGTGAAAACTAGAATTGGAGACACAGAAGAAAACAAGATAAGGAAGACGTGAAACTCGAATTCGAGAAAGGTTTGAAAGCGGATTTATCCATTTTTTGTGGGGGATCGGTGGCGTGGAGCCATGATTGAGCGCACCAATAACCGTTCTTGCGGCAGACTCTTGGTTTCCCGAATGGCCCGGCCCAAAATCACAACTTTCCAGAACCACCCGACCAAGAGTTTGTCGCATATGTTCGAGAATTGCTCCTCCTTGCAAGAAGACCCCTTCTGTCGAAAAGTGGTAGGGACTGAGCTGTAAGTTTCACCCGTAGACGTTTACAGCATAGGTTTCCTAGCGGGCCCATGGCAACCCTGAAACGCCCTGCATCGAGCATTCAGCACTGGAATCTCCAGAAGGCAGTGTGGCAAAGCAGCAGCAAAGATTGAATGTGCAGGATGGATTCTTGAAGTTCAATATTTTTAACATCAATGTTTCAGTTTGCAAACTGCTGGAATCCATATGGTATTGACTATAAAACCTGATGCCAGCTCTATCTTAAAAGGCGGGACAGCCCGGACACATAAGCCTGTTTGTACTTGAGCCAAATGACGGTTTGGGTGCAAACTAGCTGCATCTTCAGCAAAATGCACCCCCCGTGCATCTTAGATCAACGGAAGAGGCGCTATGTTCAGGCTGAAGGAATGACAAATCGTTAGACCGTCGGGCATATAGCCTCTTGCACCCTGCGAATGGAGTCGTTCTACTTTGTTACAACAGCCAAGCCTCTACTTTAGTTAGCAAGCAAAGCTAGAAGCTACTAGAGCACTGCAGAAGCGAGGTTGTGTTGAGTCTGGTGGAAGCAAAAGCGAGTGCAAGCTGTGCAGCAGCAAAGCATGCCGAAGCTTTCGAACTACCTCATAACATACTACCAGACTCAAAGCAAACCTCGCCCAAGTGAAACAACCCCCAATGAAACTGTGAGGTTCGCTGCGATGCTGCCTCAAGCCATTCACGGCTCAGCAATGCAAAGCCACGAAAGGGCAAGGCAAGGCTGGCATGTCTCAAGGTGAGAGGTCGTAAAACCGCTGGCACGTCTCCGAAAAGTGGGAGAGGCCGTAAAGCATCCATGGCTGTGGCATGTCTCCGAAAAAAACTGGAGAGGCCGTAAAGCATATGGTGCCGAAAAGGGAGGAGAGACCGTAAAAGGTTCATCGAAAGAAATCATTCACAGGTATCTTCCATCGCAGTGGAAAGTCGGGCAGATTCAAAAATACCGCAGTTCTGCGAAACCAAAGCTGCTCCACGTCCAGAAGACGAGTGCTCAAAGGAAATCTCGATGGCAACTCTGCAAAGTCCTGTATACGTGAAAGCATGTCCGCGTCCTTGTTGTACTCGCTAGGTATATGAGAAACGTCCAAAGACATAATGAATAAGAACTGAACAAAGCAAGGCGTTGTGCAAAGTGGACATTTCCAGGTATACAACTTGTTAGAAACACTCTCAGCACCTGCGTTGTCACTCCAAGACTTGATACGAACGCGAAGGCGACCAAAAGGAACCATCGCCGAGGCGCAATGAAGCAAAGCTATTCGAGTCAGAGTCTCAAAGGAAGCGATGTAAGCCTGGGCGTCATTGCTCAAGTCAAGCTTCGTGAAGTCAAAGTCCGCCATAGTCCGAGCCTGAGAGAACCAAAGCATATTGCCACCAGGCATCTTGACATAACCTCCAATGGCGAACTTGTCAGCTGATGCCATGGCATCAGCCGCAGCCTCCAAAGGAAAGGCCAAGGGTACCTGCAAAGAACGAGCAAATGAGGGTCTTCACTCCAACGCTTTCAATACCCAAGGAACTGCTTGGAAGCCTGCGACAGCCGATTCAAGCCATTTTCTTTTCACTTTTTCAACACCTGTTTCAGAGCCCAGAAACCTAGATGTGGCAGATTGCAAAGCTTGACAGTGGACAGCAACTTCACAAACTTGGTTTTTTGGCCAAGAGGCGAGGCCGAGCGTTCCACTTGACATTTTGAGTTTTGACGGAACACTGGCAAGATGCGAGTTCTATAGCCGATTTGGGAATTGCAACAAAAACAAACCATTTTAACAAAATTCAAAAAAATTCGCTGGGGCTAACGCTCAAACCACTGCGAGTGGGGACATTGTCGCAGTGGGGCGAGTTTGAGGGCGGGTCTTTGGTTTTTAAATTGCGAAGATTTTGGAAGCATGAAGTTGCAACAGCCAGCTTATGTGTATTGTTGCATCGCGCCCCATGGAGCAGAATTTTCTTTAGGCTGTCGGGAACCCAGCGAAAGTCAAGGGCGCGTTGAGATTGCATTGGGCAGTGAGAGTATTGGCTGCAAGGCTTTGCAGACAACGCTGGGACCGTGTTTGAACGGCGTGTGAAGGTAATGTGAAGCCGGCTTCAAAAGGGCTTCAAATGCGATTCCCCAATACTGGGGCCGTATTTGAACGGCGTGTGAAGCCAATCTGAAGCCGGCTTCA